TATGAAGGAGTTAGACTTGGAGAATGTATGGGAAAATGTAAAGAAAGATTTAGTGGATGCAGCTACCGAAGTACGTGGTGTTAGTAAGAGAAAGAATGAAAGGAAAAATAATATGTTATGGTGGGATGATGAGATACGTATGGAAGTTGAAGCAAAGAAGAGAGCATGGCTAGATTTACTAGCAACAAAGGCTGGTAATTCTAGCGGTACGAATGCTGATACTGAAAGAAAAAAGGCAGTCTTTAGACATCTAAATAAGAGAGTAAAAGAAGTAGTTGAAAGAAAAAAGCAAGAAAGAACGGATAAGAATGATAGAAGAATATCGAATAACTTCCAGGCAAATATTAAAATGTTCTGGAAACTTGTAAGAACTGCCAGGGGACATTCAAAACAGCCTATGATTAATGCTATAAGAGACGAGAATGGTTATATTCTGAATGATGAAGTTTTGAGTTTAAAGAGATGGAAGGAATATTTTGAAAGCATGTTTATGAGTGAGGAGACAACGTGTATACTAAGTGAAGTAGAAACTACGAAAGAAGAGGATAGAGGTAGCGAGATAAGTATAGGTGAAATAATGAAAGCAATGAAAAGCATGAAAGCAGGTAAGGATGCCGGATATGATAGAGTTTCACTTGAAATGCTAAGGGCTGGAGAGGAAGTGGTGGCAGGCCTGCTGCACACCTTGTTTAATTTATGCTGGGAACTGAAGTGGGTACCGGTAAACTGATGCAAAGCCGTGATAGTGCCATTATATTAAGGAAAAGGGTCGCAGCAGGACTGTAAAAACTACCGTGACATCAGCCTTCTTAGCATTGTGGGAAAACTGTATGCTAAGGTACTGATTGATAGGGTCATGAAAGAAACTGATGGAAAAATTTGGGATCTGCAAGCGGGATTTAGAAAGGGAATGGGATGTACAGATCAAGTATTTTCCATGCGCATGATCGCGGAGAAGTTTTTGGCCAAAAACCAAAAGGTTTTTTGTGCATTCATGGACTTGGAAAGGGCCTATGACAGAGTGGATAGGGATTTGCTATGGCAAACACTGAACTCATTTGGGTTGAGCGCTGGCTTGATACAAGCATTGGAGTCTCTAGTGCTTGTGTTAGGATCAACGGGGTCTACTCGGACTGGTTTGACATCCATAAAGGTGTCAGACAGGGCTGTGTGGCTTCCCCGTGGCTGTTCAACCTATTTATGGACAGTTGTTTGCAAAATTTGAAAGTTGAAGAATGCGGATTAAGAATGGGTGAGTTAACCGTCAAATGCCTTTTGTACGCCGATGATCAAGTTATTCTTGCGTCGTCGGCGGTCGAGTTGCAAATGATGGTTACATTAATGAACAGATCATTAAAAGAAAGGGGTATGAAAGTAAACGCAAGTAAGACGAAGGTTATGGTTTTTGAAAGAGAAGAAAGTAAAACGATTTGTGAAATAAGAATAGAAGGGGAATTGATCGAGAAAGTAGATGAGTTTATATATTTGGGCTGCGTATTTAGCAGGGATCATATCTCCCATGATAAGGATATAGAACGACGAGTGAATGCGGGAAATAGAGTAAATGGGGCCCTGCACTCTATTGTGAAGGGTCAAAATGTGTCAAAAAAGGCACGTATGGCAATTCACAATGCTGTGGTGGCCCCTACTTTAACATATGGTAGTGAAAGTTGGGTGTGGCAGAAGAAGCACGAGAGTAGAATGAACGCAGTAGAAATGCGGTCGTTAAGGAGTATGTTAGGGCTGAATCTGAATGACAGGGTAAGAAATTGTGTAATAAGAGAAGAGTGTGGTTTGCAAGATGATGTTGTGACCAGGATTAAGAAAGGAAGAAGGTGGTTTGGTCATGTGGAAAGAATGAATGAGGAAAGAGTGACAAAGAAAATTTATGTTGCAGAAGTGAATGGCAGAGTCGGAAAGGGACATCCTAGGCGAAAATTTATCGACCGAATTGACGATTTATTAAAAACGGGCCAAATTAGGAGTATGTTTACCTGGGACAAATAGTCCTACTAGAAGACCAACTTCGACCGAGAGGTCAATCGACGGAGTTAACTCGACTGGGCAGCGTTCGAGAGATTACGTTTAATGTTCTCGTCAGGTATACCTCAAAACTAGATTGTACAACCAGTGCGTGTTGCCAGTGATGCCCTATAGTTCTGAGACGTGGTCCTTTACAGCTGGCCGTATGAGGAAACCCAAAGTATATCGGCAAATTGGATCCGTAACTTCGGAATAAGGGTTGGGTCGGAGGACCGGGGCGTGTCGGGTTTGTACGGGAAGCGGATGCTACCGGTGTCGGGCCTGTTCGATGTTCGTGCGTCTCTCGGGATGTGCGGGCTGAATCCGGACCCGTGCTCAGCGTGCTATGGAGAGGGCTACGCTCGGGGTTTCTCTGCGTGATAAACTTCGAAATGAGGATATCTACAGTAGAACCATAGTGACCAATATAACCCAACGGATTAGCAAGTGAAATGGCAATGGGCCGGCCATATAGCTCGAAGAACCGATAACCGATGGGGGAAGAAAGGTTCTCCAGTGGCAGCCTCGTACCGGCGGGCGAAGTGTAGAGCATCCCCCCACTTGATGGAGTGAAGACCTGGTAAGACATGCAGGAAGTCGATGGATGCAGGTGGCTCAGGACCATGCAGTTGCATTTCATGGGGGAGGCCTATGTTCAGCAGGGGACTTGTGAAGCGCTGTAATGATGATGATTATTATAATGATGATGGATGAATTACCACGCATTTTGAATTTAAAAGATAATAAAGGACAGAATGTTGGAGATTTCTTAACAAATTTTTCTTTATTACATGTTTCTAAACCTTCTCTGCAAATTTGGCTGGTTATTGCAAAATAACCCGGTATAAAGGAAATATTATCAATAGGTGATAATACTATTTAGTAAACAAAGATAGATCTTTGTTAATTTACGGTATTCTTGATTGGAAAAATTGTTGAGAATCGATTCTAATTACATTTCTAACCTAACTGTATTCTTATTTAAGTTTATTCTGAACTCTCACTTTTCTCCGGTTTTCATTATTATTTGGAGTTGATGTCAGGAAGATGCTGCTGCCCATCTCATGTTTCAGTTTTCTTCTGTCCCTTTTTACAACATCTGCGTGGTGGTATGTGGCAGTATGGATTCTCCGGCGGCCTACACTGGCTTTTTCTCTTTTTTTTTTAAAAAAAAAAAACAATTTGGTTTCAGTCAATACCAAAACCGCATGAGGCTAGAGATGAGATTCAATTCACACCAATTTGTCATGTAGATATCAGGCCAGTAGAGTGTGATATTAAAAATGATTGTAAGGACGAGATTTTTAGCCTTGAATCTGTTAAAGTTGAGGAAGGCAATTTCGAAAATGAGCATTCCCAATTTGAAGTAAATGGGAATCATGAAATAGGTAAGATATACACATATTGTGATATTGTTAAATTAAGGTACGATCTACCTAATGGCAAGTGGTTAGCCAGTGGTAGCCCATGGACACAAAATAAAGAGGGCTTCATGTGCAATGTACTAATTTACTGATTTGCCTTTGCCTAAATTCAAAGTGCATGTAAAAAGCACTCGTGGAGAAAGAAAATAATAAATTAAATAACCCCTCGTCTGGCGTCCGGCCATTTTGCAAATATGTCCCGTCTGCTATGGCCTTAGCAGGTAATTTCCGAGATATCGGCGCGTGGCGATTAAATTAGTAATTTCGCAAAAATGTTGTGTTGAAGCTATGTATAAAACTTATGTCCTTTGAATTGTTGTATTATTTGCTTATTACTCTGTAGATATCTAAGCTGAATACAACCTAAGAGATTTTGAGTTGAGTTTACAGTTAAATCGCCTGAATTTGAGGATTCTGTCACTATGGGGAGAGGGGGGGATTATCTGAAGCACCCCCACGCGTGTTTTGCAGCCGGAACAGCGTCGAAGTATTTTTAATAATTTTTTAAAAATATTGGTAAATGACTAATTAAATATTCTGACGTTTTTGACGATGCATCTGTCAACGTCATATCGATATATAGTACTGATTCGATCTAGTGAATCGATATTTCACCCTATAGAATCGAGATCGAATCTTTTTCTGTTTTATCAAGAACTATGAAATTATTTACAATTAGTTGAATGTACCCCAACTCGTAAATAATGACAGTTTTTCAATTCAATCGTCCAATGTTATCTGTAATTTATTGTATCTTTTGATATTGTAGATATAAACTCTGAAAAAAAGATCGATATTTGTGAAATCGATCTTTAAGACTTTTTGTGAATCGATTCATCCAATTTCGATTCGATTTAATTTAAAAATGTGTAGAATGAATTGCTAGGCCGGCCATTTTGTTGACAGTGACAGACATACTTTACGTCATTCCGTTGCTTCCGAGTTTCAGATTTTTGGTAAATAGTGTTACCGTCAGTCGCGGCGGCGGCGCATACGGACGTGTCGTACCGCTTAGTTAAAATTAAATCACTCTCAATAAATAGTGTCATTCTAAAATCGTAATTATTGCAACTACAATAGAGTTAATTTAGCATTGCTAGTGTCAGTGGTTACGTGCCGTGTTAAGTAAGCGTGTGACCTTCACAGCGCAGTGAAATTGCACTCCGGTTATTATTGCATATTACTCGCAAAACACAGAGTAGCTGGAGTTCAGAGAAATCCTTCCGCAAATTGCAACGCTCACCTTCTAATAAGCGTCACGATTCCAATCCGGATTTATCGAACATAGGTGTAAGAAAGCGAAAGAACGATCATGATATCACAGAATCGTTTCAAGCATTCACGGACACCATATTAAAAAAATGGATAGCTGGAAAACAGTGTAAGATAAAAATCTATCACAAATAAACGACACATTAAATGATATTATTAAGAAAGATCTTACTATATTAAAAGAAGAGTCTCTGGAACTGAAGACAGATATTAAAAATGTTCGGAAGGAATATAACAGAAGTAAAAACATGTGTCGCAGTACTGAGTGCACAACAATCCGAAATGCAAAAAGAAATAATCACATTTCAAAAATCAGTGCAGTTTAACTCTGACTGGCATGATGAAACCACTAAAAATTTCGAAGTCCTATTTGAGCTCACAAAGCAAACCGACAGCCTCAAATCGGAAATTAATAATCTTAAACTACAAAATCAACAATTAAATCGACAAATGAACATCAACGAGCAACGTGACCGAATGCTAAATGTTGAAATTGTCGGCATGCCAGAATCAATCAACGAGGACCTGAATGATACCATCTTGAGAATATGTAAACACGTCGGAGTTAAAATCGATACAAATGACGTTCTGCAGGTTAACAGAGTATCCCCAAAAGTAAAACTGCCAGGTCGATCCAGGGTGATTATTGCCAAAATGAAATCAAGGCTCCTGAAAGATAACGTAATATCTCTATCCCGTAAAAATCGTCTAACCACTAAGGACATTGGGCTAGCAGGTGAAAGCAGACCAATTTTTGTCAATGAGCACTTAACCTTCTCACAATAAGCAGCTCCTAAAAAAGTGCACAGATTTTGCTAAATCGAGTCAGTACCAGTTTGTCTGGACAAAAAATGGAAGAATTTTTGTACGACGAAACGATACATCTCCTGGCCTGCAAATATTCGATGAGGAGGATCTCAATAAAATTATCACCAAACAATAGCTGATGTCGTTTTTATAATGTTATTATTTTTTCTTATTGGTTTTGGTGTCTATCTTTTTACCTTTACTATTGTTTACCTTTACTAATCTTTATCACAACCGTAATAATATAAAAATAGATAATTTAATTATTTTCCATAATACCATGTTAATTGGAGAAACGTTTTGGTCCATATTCTCTCTGAAGTTAGTCTACTCTGTGCTCAAACTAATTATTGTTATATTTTGTACTTTTGCATTTGCACCTATTCCCTTACGCATAGTGCACTACAACTTCACATTGGTTTGTCGATTAAATGGCGGGTACCGTAACACACAATATTTAAACTTATCGGTTCACTGTAACAAACTAGTAAAGTCAAAGACAAGTTTTTTTTATGCACGCAGATGGTGTAGATGGTAGCGGGACGTTTGCCGTGTAGTGCGTTCACGAAATTTGGCGGCTGGGATTAATCCGAACAATTCCTCAGAGCGCTCCCCGTAATAGATGCAATAAAATACGCAAAGAGATGCAACATCTCTTCGCAGCGCCAGTGAATCGAGCCGATCGGAAAGCACTCGGTCGTCGACGATTCGAGCCGCTCTGCGCTGGATACAGTCAAGTGGAAGGAGCTGGTACTGGGGAGCCCCAGCCCAGAGATGGGAACAGTATTCCATGTGCGGCCGAACCTGCGCCTTGTAAAGTTGCAGGCGGTGTGACGGCATGAAATACTGTCCCGCTCTGCTGAGCACGCCAAGCTTTTTAGAGGCCAATTTGGCCTTCCCTTCCAAGTGACCACGAAACTGCACGTCACTCGATATGTCGACGCCGAGGATTCCGATACTGGCTGAGGCAACAAGGGGAGTGCCTTGAAACTGAGGGGATACGACAAAGGGGTTCTTTTTAGCGGTTAACGCGCAAACTTGTGTCTTCTGAGGGTTAAACTGGACTAGATTTAGTCGTCCCCAATCCGAGACTATGTTCAGCAAAGACTCGACTTCAGACACAAGTTTGTCCCGGCACTCGAAGGTTTTCCCGAGAAATATTGGCTCGGCCGGTGTAAAGAGCATCACCAGTGCTGTCATCTGCATAGCAATGAATGTTACGGGTATGCAACATATCATTGATATGCAGAAGAAACAGCGTTGGCGATAGCACGCAGCCCTGTGGAACACCAGCATTAATAGGCTTGCAATCGGAGCTTGCACCGTCTACAACGACCTTGATGCACCGATCTGCAAGAAAGCTGGTGATCCAATCGCACAATTTCTCGGGAAGCCCATAGGAAGGGAGCTTCGAAAGAAGCGCTTTGTGCCAAACCCGATCGAAGGCCTTCGCAATGTCCAAACTAACGGCCAATGCCTCCCCCCTTGAACTCTACTGCCTCCGCCCATCTGTGAGTTAGGTAGACCAGAAGATCACCAGCTGACCGACCACGGCGTAAACAGTATTGGCGGTCACTAATCAGCTGGTGATCTTCAAGGTACCTCATGAGCTGGCAGTTTACAATGGACTCCATTGTTTTGGAGAACAAGGAGGTGATGTCGATAGGCCGGTAGTTGGACGGGTCTGAGCGGTCGCCTTTTTTAGGGATCGGGTGGACGAAAGCCGTCTTCCATGATTTTGGGACTACGCCTAGGGAGTAGGAGTACCGGAAAAGACGCGTTAAAACCGGTGCCAACTCTGGAGCACACGTCCTCAGCACAATTGGGGGGATTCCGTCAGGCCCACTCGACTTGTGGATGTCCAGAGAGAGGAGTGCTTTGCGATCCGAGCGCTGTGTGAAGTGCACTTCCGGTATGGAGCACTCACATCGCGGGATGGTCGGCGGCGTACTCCCCCCGTCATCGAGAGTCGAGTTAGACGCAAAGAAAGAGCGTAGAAGATCGGCTTTCTCCTTTGTAGTATGGGCCAATGAGTCGTCCTCCCTGTGCAGAGATGGAAGAGATGGCTGACAGAAATTCCTCTGGACAGCCTTGGCGAGAGACCAGAATGCACGGGTTCCAGAAGGAAGGCGAACTAGTTTCTCGCCAATTCTGCGTATGAGCTCTGACTTTGCATTGGCAATGACTCTTTTGAAGGTCCTAGAGGCGGAATTATACTTCTTTTTTAGAGCGCTGGTGTTTACATCCCGGGACGCTGATGCGTTAACCCAGGCTTGGTAGCTCTCCTGCTTATAGCATGATGCTATTTTACAGGAGCGACCAAACCATGGCTGAGATTTGCCTCCAATGGGCACCACAGAGGAAGGAATAAAAAGTTCCATACCCTGAAGCACCACATCAGTAACAGAATCCGCAACAACGTTGGGATCATCCGGCGAGAAGCAAACCCGCCCCCCAAGGGTAGGATGCAAAGAAAGACCGCATCCCATCCCAATCGGCTGACCTATAGTGCCAAACACGGCGGCAGCCTGCAGAATGCAATCGCGATTTCAGCGTGAGTGGCACAACACTCCGGACCAGACAATGGTCCGAGGAGCCTAAAGGGGCGTCGACGGAAATCTGATATCCGTCCGGCTGAGAGGTCAGCAGAAGGTCCAACAGGGAAGGTGCATGATCCTACACATCTGGAATCCGCGTAGGCGAAGTAACCAGTTGTGTCAGACCATATGCCAAGGCAAAATCATGAACAGATCTCCCCGCATGTTCGGTTAAACGTGAACCAAGCCATTCGGCGTGATGGGCGTTAAAGTCGCCGAGGATCACGATCTCTGCGGAGGGGATCTGCTGTAGCAACGAATCTGCAGCCATTTGGACGTGGTCGAAGAGTCGGTCTGTTTCGGCATTACCGCTATGGGACCTATAGAGGCACCCGTAGACGCGCGGATGGTCGTCGCTGTCTACGCGTAGCCAAAGGATGGACAGGTCCGAACCTTCAAATCTGCCGAGGCGTCGAGAACAGATGTCCTCTCTGACGTAAACGCAAACTCCAGCCCGAGGCACAAAGGAGTGTTCCAGTTTGTACCCCGGGTAGGAGAGATACGAGACATCAGCCGTAGAGGACACCTGCGTCTCGGTCAGAAAGAGCAGAGCCGGCCTCGCCGTCTCGAGATGGTAGTGGACGGCGTTTAGGTTAGAGTGAAGTCCCCTGATATTGCAGAAATTCACGGACAGCGTGGCAGGGGTCGCCTTGGTCTTGTTGCTCCGTTTGCCCCGAGCAGTTGTAGTCTTGAGCGGAATTTTGACCCCCCCCCCCAGAATACGCGGGGCAGCCTGAGCACCCACGCTCAGAAGTGGAGAAACATGGTCGTGGATGCTCAGCGAGGGATTCACCAGGGATGCTGGTACCCTCCTGGGGTAATCTATCATTAATTAATTCCGCTACCATGTTGATGGGGGGGGGGGGGGGATTTAGGCCTCCGGCCACCTGCACTCACCAGACGAAACGCGGAAGCAGAGCTTCCAATTCACGCCGGTATTCTGTGAGGTCGTGGTACCACCCCGGTTTGAGCCGGCCCATACGTGCAACAGCAAAGCTGCCGCGTGGCTCTATCACTGTTAAAGTGCAGTGTTAGTTTCTTTAATAAATTTTAAAAAATCGCGGCACACAATATAACACCAAAATATAAAATTTTGTAATTATTTTAATTTATAAACATAATTCATGGTTGTCACAAGTTGTCAGAAAGGATCTTTGCGATATTTCACAGTATTCCGCTGCCACAAATATTCCACTATTCACCAAAAATCTAAAACTCGGAAGCAACGGAATGACGTAAAGTATGTCTGTCACTGTCAACAAAATGGCCGGCCTAGCAATTCATTCTACACATTTTTAAATTAAATCGATTCGAAATTGGATGAATCGATTCACAAAAAGTCTTAAAGACGACATGCGAAAACTTCGCCAATGTGTTTCGGTTTTTCATTAAGTTTTTGTATTGTATATTATTTATTTTAATAAAATATTTCTTATAAATATAAAAATAATAAATACAATTTACAAATAAATTCTTTTAAATATAAATTTAAAAATAATAATAGTTTGCCACATATTATAGCCACCCGGGAGATCAGACTAGAACGGAGTATGTCGATATTTTAGATATTTTTGCATAGAAATATTTAATATTTATATAAAGTTATTGGTATTATTGGATAGAGTAGATCATGTTTTTTAATTATTTTACAATAAATATATACTTGTGAATGTGCATGTCTCTGCAACAGAAAAAGACATAACTAACCATATCTAAAATAAGACAAAGGAAATAGTGAATCTAGAGAAAATAAATATGAAAGTGGAAAGAGGACACAAAGCATATAAATTTTTAATATCTGAGGCTAATTTATCGAAATACATGGACGAAACGCTATGGCCCGAAGGTGTCATATTCCGACGTTTTGTAAACTTTAAGTACAGGAAACAGGAAAACGAACGTTGCAGGTTTTACCAACGTAGACGGTGAAAATAAACCCAATAATGGATAGTTCGCCATAAAATGATTCTGCGATAGTATCAAAGAAAATAAAAAAGGGTTAGGGTTTTAAAGTTAGATTTCTAAAATTAATCATTTTTTACCCGTTGCACTTCAATTGGGTAAATTATTATTAACGTAAATGAATTCTGTATTTCATTAGTTTTCTGTGTGTGACTTTTATTCTGACATTGGTAAATAACTTTCTCCGTGGTAACCGTTTTAGTTGAACTGGTCGCGATCGGACGGTAAAAAAAGCCGCAACGAGAAGTGCGGGGCGTTAGAGGCTATTGTCGCCGCGTAGCTCGGAAGTTCAAGTGGGTAAACTTCCACTGCTGAACATGGAAGGATCTCTCCCCATGTAGGGAGGATTTGCCTCAGTGGTATTCCTTGGCATAGGACTGACGATCGCAGAATCAGACGTGAGCACCTCTGGCAATGTTGCCTGTCACCGGTCTGGATATTTTACATCTGAAGTAAACGAGGTGGTTAAACCGCCATCTGTCGGAAAATCAAACCTATAGTCGCCTCTTACGAAACCCATGAGATAAAATGTGATGACACGCCATCTTCGACTATAATGTGTGTGTAACACTAGTTCTGTTTGATATTCGAAACAGCGATTATTAGAATAGATTATTAGACTAGAATACATTATTCTAATAGTACTTACCTAGACAATTTTCTTCACATTCTTTCTGTGTGTGATTCGAACCAGCGATTATTAGATTAATGTAATTATAACACGGTCAGAAGAACGTCATCATTTTTATTCCTCTTTCCCTTCAAAAAAGATTCTTTCCCTTCAAAAATGAATATGAGAGACATCATCCAGAGTAATTGGCTGAAATACTTTTATATCTTGCAAGGTTAAATATGTGTTATTGTGTAAAATATTATACGCCCTCTGTAAACCGTCTAAGGTATCTTACAATAAAGATACAATGTCTTACAATAAATATAATGTTTAATTCATTTGTATTTTAGAACAACCCTGTATACAAACAAATAATTTTTCAACACCGTGTGAGAAAAAGATTAAATCATATTCTACTGATTGTAACATAAATGATGTTCGTAAAGGAAGAAATCTCGATTTAGAAAGCCCTACTGTCAAATCAAAGCCTAAACTGAAAAAAGTTACTCAACCAGTTATTAAAAAAGGGAAGCATCCTGCAAAAATTATGAAAAAGAAAATTTTGAAAAAGAGTGTAAATAAACTTACGAAAAACACATCTGAGGCATCAACTAAATACATTTATGAATGTGATGTTTGTAGAAAAAAGTTTTTAACAAAAGATATTCTCGCCGACCACATATCAAACAGTCACAAGACGAAAAGGAACTCAGATACAGTTCAGAAACAAGTTGAACAAACTCCAGTATCACAACTAATGGATATATATAACTGTGCTATTTGCGAATTTAAAACATCTCAAAGACGTTGTATTTCAGCACATCTTAAAGCACACGTCGCTAAGCAAGTGTACTGTTGTAATAATTGTGATTATAAATGTCCAGATAAAGGAAATTTCCAAAGGCATATGAAAATACATACCGGAGAAAAACCTTTTTCGTGCAATATCTGTGAATATAGATGTATTACAAAGAGTAATTTGCAAATACATATGAAAATACACACCGGTGAAAAACCTTTTTCGTGCAATATCTGTGAATATAGATGTATTACAAAAAGTAATTTGCAAACACACATGGAAATACACAAAGGTGTAAAACCTTTTTCGTGTAATATCTGTGAATATAGATGTAAAACAAAAGGTTATTTGCAAAAGCATATGAAAATACACACCGGTGAAAAACCTTTTTCGTGTAATATCTGTCAATATAGATGTAATACAAAAGGTTATTTGCAAACTCATATGAAAATACACACAGGTGAAAAACCTTTTTCGTGTTATATCTGTGAATATAGATGTAAAACAAAAGGTTATTTGCAAAAGCATATGAAAATACACACCGGTGAAAAACCTTTTTCGTGTAATATCTGTCAATATAGATGTAAAACAAAAGGTTATTTGCAAACTCATATGAAAATACACACAGGTGAAAAACCTTTTTCGTGTAATATCTGTGAATATAGATGTAAAACAAAAGGTTATTTGCAAAAGCATATGAAAATACACACTGGAGCAAAACCATTTTCGTGAGCTATCTGGTTAAAATATATACAATATTATGTAAATGGGTTTTATTGAATATATATGAGTGTACCAGATAAAAGTATTTTTTGTGAATTTCTTATGTAATTATAATACGTAGAAAGAAATTTAAGTGCCTAATGTGCTTATTGAAACTGCATTTATTTGAAAGAAGTTAAGGCTGCAGTCTTTTAAAGTTAACTCTTATCGAATCATTAGCACCATTTAGCATTTTTTGGGGGGTATTTGCCATAGTTGCCACGCTTGGCGAGCGGGTTGGCAACCGCAGTTTTTTTATTACGTCACAGTTGTTATCAGGAAGATGATGGAACCGATGGGGAAGAAAGGTTCTCGAGTGGCAGCCTCGTACCGGTAGGCGTAGTGTAGGGCGACCCCCCACTAGATGGAGTGACGACCTGGTAAGACATGCAGGAAGTCGATGGATGCAGGTGGCTCAGGACCGTGCTTTGTGGCATTACTTGGGGGAGGCCTATGTTGGACTTGTGAAGGGCTGTAATGATGATGAATGATAATGAGCATTTTTTAGAGCAAACTAACATTTTAGAGTAAAATATTTTGATAACACATAAATAGCCACAATATAAGTAAAAACTACATAATTTTTAGGTTCATCTATGTGGTCTGTGTTAGCTAAAACAAACTTTAAATACAACTCTGTCGCACCCAAAGCCATTTCATAAGGCAATCGATAGTAATAGCATGAATTGTTTCCAGCGTATTTATAGCTAAACATCTTCATTTCCAAAATGCGCTGTTTCCTTTTTTCTAAATATTTTTTACTGTCTTAATTAAAAGGTCTCAAAGCAGGATGTTTCCAGCGTATTTATAGCTAAACATCTTCATCTCCAAAATGCGCTGTTTCCTTTTTTCTAAGTATTTTACTGTCTTAATTAAAAGGTCTCAAAGCAGGGAAAGGGAATTACCAGTTTCGGCTAAGCGTGGACAAGATGCCCGGTGAAAATATTTTTTACTAAACAATATTATTAATTCTGAAAGATATATTTTTGGACATCACATAGTGGCCAGGTACACGTATAAAAAGTCGAAATAAAGAGTATTTAAACTGTATTCACCAGTTATAAACATAGACGTAGGTATATGAAACATAAAGCATTTGTTTGACGCAGTGCTACCAGCACGGAAATAAAACATCAATTTCACAATGTTAGTCTGCAAAACGAGTACAAATAAATACTGTATGAGAAAATTATACTTTTTTACTTACATTGTTTTAAAATAAAAGAATCAAAAACGTTATTTATTACTTTTTAACATATTTTTTGATTAGATTATCGGTTCTAAAAATTGATTATTGTCGGGTTATTATTTTTTCCTGGCAACTCCTACTGTATCGCTCGTCAAGTGAAATGACATCTGGCATTCTCTTTGTTTTAAAATGGATATGTTTTGACATTTTTTGCCCTTTGTTTTATATTTATATTTCTTAAATTGTGTGTAAAATATGATAATAAAATAAATGGTTTTGTCTTTCTTTATAATGTGTAATTAAACAGATTATATCAAAATACTATTGGCAAATAATATATTTTAGAAAAAAATATGCTTATTACAAAGATTTTACCCGGCATGGTTTCAATTTTTCACATGCCAGTTGAAGCATATTCTTGCATCTTGCTACAACTTTATTATAATATTTGCTTTCCTATAGATATGTAGTTTTAATAATGCAGTCTTTAATTAATGAAGATATTGTCCACGCTTAGCCAAATTACCCTAACAAAGAGCAATATCCTTTGACCAAAGTATAATTTCCCTGCTTTTTTCACGTCATAAAAAACTACTTGGTTCATAGCAATAGTGCAAAATATTTATGCTGTAATTATTTTTTTCTAAGGGGCAAGTGTTTAATTAGACAAATATCAAAAAATAATCTTTCAAACTACCTTATTTTAAAAGTAATAATTATTTCATCGATCTACGAAATAATGAGTTTTTAAGCTGAGCCTAGTATATATACAGTAATCACAGAAATCTCAGTAATAAGGTACTAGAAATGCCTAGCATTCATGCAGCAAAGATCGTTAAGAAATATTTTATAAAAACGCAAAATCTCAGGAGGCGTTGCCACTTGGTCCCATAATAAACGTATGCGAAAAACCACGGAGCAAATATAAAGAGGTGTTATAATTAGATTTCACTATGTAACAACGCGTGACAATTTGCGGGGTGAGAGGGTATTAAGCGCCGCCCGCTTAACTATTTTCCATCTACCGGTAAATAGTAAAACTACTCGCATCGTTCCATATCGATGTTGCAATGTAGTTTAGCTACATTACGCTTGGTGTGGGATATAAGGGGACGTACTCAGAAATTTCGTACCAGGGAGTATTTATTTCAAGATTAATTTTGTGAATCGTCTTGTAATTACATCTTTTTTTCTAAATTGAAATACCGATATTATGAAAAAAAAAAATCCTACTCCTACTATAACAATAATCCTTATAAATTCCTCGGGGATGAGTCGCTCGCGTCCGTAGGCTCCGACCACCTAACCTTAGGCCCACCCTACACGTGTCCCCCGGGTGGTGCTAAACGAGCGACAAAGCCGAAAAAATAGACTCGGCTCCTCGCCGTATGGTAGCGGCGTAAAATCTACCACCACCCCTTGTTCGAATGACTCAGGAAATAAAAGAAATGGCCCCGAGTTCCCGGCGCCCCTTAAATGGGGCAGGGGTGCGAAGAATCTCCGGGAGAAAAACCGGCGACGAGGTTCGCCACCCGTCACGTTCTGTCTCCCGGAGGGGCGAAAAGTGGATTGCGGAAACCCGTCTGGCTACGCTGAATGTATGTGGAGGAATGAATGATAAGATGGATGAAGTATGCGAAATGATGAATGACAGAGGAATAGATGTGTTATGTGTGAATGAGACGAAACGAAAGGGAAAGGATGCCACTGCACATGGCACGTATACCGCGTATTGGTCTGGTGTAGGCGAGACCGAACGGGCGTGCCAGGGAGTCGTTTCATCCTTTCAGAAAGAATGGGTCAATGTGTGAAAGAGTATGAATGTGTAAGCCCGAGACTGCTATGGATACGAATGAAAGTGGGCTTAAAGAAGCTGTTCCTGCTAGGGGTGTACGCCCCAGACATGTCTAAGCCCGCTTACATTCGAGAGCAGTTTTGGGACATGGTAAGGATGGTGTTGACAAAATGTAAGGAAAATGAAAATATTATTATGTTAGGAGACTTTAATGGAAGGGTTGGGGTGAAGAGGTCTGGTTATGAAAGGATATTGGGAACGTTTGGTGATGAAAGTATAAATGAGAATGGTGAAGACCTCCTCACCGTATGTGCGGAAAAGAATCTTTTTGTGACGAATACTTTTTTTCGTCATAAGAAGATTCACATGTATACATGGGAAAGAGGTGATGATAGAAGCATGATAGATTTCGTAATTGTGGATGAAAGAATGAGGAGCGCAGTCGTAGATACAAGGGTTTACCGGGGGTCCAACGTAGGGACGGATCATTACTTGGTCTTATGTCGAATTAATGGTCTTTTCAAGCGTTGGCGGCATCGGACATCTGTGTCTACCACTGCGTTACAGCGTATAAGAATAGAGAAGTTACAAGATGAAGATGTGAAAGAGAAGTATAAATGTAGACTGAGAGAAAATATTAGATGTTTGAATGAGTTGTGTATGAATGATTTAGACTTGAAGACTGTGTGGGATAATATTAAGAAAGGTTTGGTGGATACCGCCACCGAAGTATGTGGTGTAAGTAAAAGAACAAATGAAAGGAAAAGTAATACGTTGTGGTGGGATGATGAGGTACGGGTGGAAGTTGAATCAAAGAAGAAAGCATGGTTAGATTTACTAGCAACCAAAGCTGGTAATTCTTCTGGTATGAATGATGAGATTGAAAGAAAAAAGGCAGAATTTAGACGTCTAAATAAGAGAGTAAAAGAAGTTGTTGAAAGGAAAAAGAAAGGAAGAATGGATAAGAATGATAGAAGGATATCTGATAATTTCCAGGCTAACATAAAAATGTTCTGGAAACTCGTAAGAACTGCCAGGGGAAATACAAAACAGCCTATAATAAATGCTATAAGAGACGAGAATGGATGTATTCTGAATGATGAAGTTTCGAATTTAAACAGATGGAAGGAATACTTTGAAAGCGTGTTTATGAGTGAAGAGTCGTATGAATTAAATGAACTAGAAATTCCGAAAGAAGTGGAAAGGGGTATGGAGATAAGTGTAGATGAAATAATGAAAGCAATGAAAAGCATGAAAGCAGGTAAGGCAGCTGGATATGATAGAGTATCACTCGAGATGCTAAGGGCTGGAGAGGGAGTGGTGGCAGGCCTGCTGTACACCTTGTTTAATTTATGTTGGGAATTAAAACGGGTACCGGATGACTGGTGTAAAGCAGTTATAGTACCAATATATAAAGGAAAAGGGTCACAGCAGGACTGCAAAAACTACCGCGGTATCAGCTTGCTTAGTATTGTGGGTAAACTGTA